TTTACATTTTACATCGATGGCATAGACGTCACTCTTAAAACCGCTGTAAAAAGCTCATTTTAACCGACGTTAAATGTTTTTTTTTTTGTAGTAGTAGTGCCACCTTTTGACCCTCTTTATCTCACTCGGGTGGGATATGCATTATGACTTGTTAGTTGTCACTGGTTTTTTTTTTCACTTTCTTCAACGTGGCTCAGAGTTATCCTTTGGGTGTTAGTTTATATTTCCAATTCCAAACCTCCCCCTTCCTCCTTGCCTTCTACCATTACACAAGTTGCAAGAGTTGAGTTACGAAGTTTTAGAGCACTGTCCATGGCTTCTCCTGTTATAGATCTCGTCGGCTCTCATTGAAGCATCAACCGTGATGATCTAATGAGTGGGAAGGGAAGAGAAGTTCAATTTGGAAGAGAAACTTAGGTGCATGGCGAGTAGAGGCGATGTCTGGATCATTTTTTTCAGGAGTATGTCAAGTTTGAAAAATAAACCGGTGACTCGACTAACCCAACGAGTTACCCGGATTGATCGCGAGTTATTCCGAGTTAAGCTGAGTCACACTGGTTTGAAGTGTTTTTCAGTTTTAGGGATGAACCGGGCCAGACAAGTGGCTGATTTGCCAGTTTCAGGTCTGAACTGGCCGATTCGGTCCGGTTTTAAATACATTGGTTGCAATACATATGGAGACGAATTGGTTCTTGTCCCAGAGGAATTGCCTTTCCATTCATCAAACAAATGCACCAAGAAAGTGAGTAATAGAGATTCCAATTGTTGGATTTTTGGGCTTGGATCCACTCTTGACAAGCTAGATTACTTGATTGGATATTAAAAGAATATTCCAATCAAATATCCAAGCAAGATCATGACATCTTGACTTGGTCAAACATTTTGAGTCAAATCCAATCAGTTATGATATAAGTTAAATTAATTTATATTGTACAGATTAAATATATATTAGAGATGTACTCCTCTAGTCTTTAATATAAGACCTATTTGACTAATTTGATTAGATTAAAAAAGTTAAATAAGTTAGTTAGTTATAAGAAATATGACATGTTTTTTTCTAAAACATCACAATCATCTTTTTTAATATCCTCCCTCTCCTCACTTACTTGATTATGATTGAGAGAATATCCACATACCATAGGAATAATTTAAGAAAAATTAATAAATATAAGAAATAGGTCTTATGTTTAAGATCAAAACTAACTTAATAATTAGGCCTTATATTAAGTATAGGAGGAGTATATATTTAGAATTAATTAAAGTTGATTCTAGATTTAAATTCAAATTCATAATCTTATCAATTAAGAGATATTTGAACTTTCGAATTCAAATTTGAATTGGTGGACTAAGTGGATATTTTGTCTTCCCAAAATATCCTTGACCAAAGCTGTAAATAGATGTCTCAATCCATCAATTCAACTCACTGCAATAGTTGAGTTTTCCTACTCTCTTCTTTCTCTATAATATTTTCTCGTGTGGTGTTCTGCTGTGCCATTCAGGTTTAGACTCTAGTAATCTAAACTCTATGTGAGCATCAGTAAATCGCCTTGTAGAGTTTTGGAAGAATAACTCGGATCTGAATATGAATCCGACCCTATAGGCATTTTATTTTTCTTTATATTTAATATTTCTAACACTTCTTATAATTTGACCCGCCAAGTTATATATTACGCCTATTTGGAATTCTTATAAATATCACCATGATGGCTAAGAGGTTATAAGAGTGGTTTCTTATTTATCAGAGTTTGAGAGATGCTTGTTTGGAAAATCTCCTTTTATGGAGCTCGCGACAAAAGCTCTTCAAATATATATGTGTGTGAGCGCACACGCTTACTCTATGAAGTGCAAAATCATTTAAAATAAGCTAATCCAAATACCGTTATTTATTAATTTTAAACCACTACATACCATAGTGTACATGTGAAAGCAATATATATAAAGTAACCAGATTGCATTTAATTACTATTTTATGTCTTTAATATAAGAGATAATTCGCTAATTTGAGTAAATTAAAAAAATTTATTAAGTTAGTTATTTGTAATAAATAAGTGTTATCTTTTTTAAAATACCTTTACTAATCAAGTGTATTGATTATAATTACTATTTGATAGAATATTTAACATATGCAACTACTACAAGGACTACTTTGAAAAAAATGAATAAATATAAAAGGCAAAATGATTAAGGTCTTATATTTAGAACTTAAATTAAAAGTCAAACAAGTTCTTATATTAAGGATCGAAGGTAGTAGGATATAATTAAGTATACATATATAGCCTAGAATTAGGAATTAAAATATGACTATTGATTATTGAATCCAATATTAATTAACTAGATATATGCACATATGTGGTATGGAAAACATAAATCTATATCTATGCTGGATGAGTGTAATGTGTGTGTGTGTGTGTTACTTGCGTATATACTCATATAAACACACATGTAAACTAATCCCTCCGTTCCTTATTATAAGAGACATTTGATGCTTATGGCATGTTTCTATATATAAGAGACACTTACAAGTTGTCTCTACTTTTTTGTGTTGATTTACTATTTTACCCATATTTATTATCTCCAACTCACACTCTCTCTCCCTCTCACTTCTCTTTCTTTTAATAATTTAATTGTTCTCTCTCATGCTCTCTCTCCTTATTAATGAGGGCATTTTTGGGAAAAAATTATACTTTTTACACATTAATTGTTCTTAACTAATTTTAACTGTTTTTTTGATCAACGTACTTCGGTTATTTGTCTCTTATAATAAGGAACGGAGGGAGTTAGGTAAGTTAGTTAATGTATAACATTGTCTTTTTCAAACAATACGTAGGATATACCAATATTTACCTTTAAAAATTATATACTCCTCCTGTCCTTAATATAAAACCCATTTAACTAATTTGATTAGATTAAGGAAGTTAGGTAAGTTAGTTAATTATAAGAAAAGTGACACATTTTTCCTAAAATACCATAATCATCTTTCTTAATACCCCTCTCCCTCTTCTACTTGATTATGGTTGAGGGAGTATCTATAGGGGTAATTTAGATAAAATTAATAAATATGAGAAATGGGTCTTATATTTAGAATCAAAACCAATTCAAAAATTGGGTCCTATATTAAGGACCGGAGGAGTACTATATATGTTTATTAAAAACCTTATGACAAACGTTAATTACCTAGTCGTGTTATAACTCAATTCATACAATCATAAAAATTAAAAAAAAGATTAAGAAATGTTTTTTTGACAACCATTATGCGCAACATGCATTGATACTCTCTTTAAAAGTTTTAGTTTATTTGGAATTTTTTAAACAAAATGTTGAATGCAGTTTATTCAATCTTTGGCAATAGTTGTGATGGTTTTGACGAAAAGGAGAGGAACAAGATTTTATAGGGTGTGACACAATTAATAAGATAACAGATTATTTCTTTTCGAATATATACGTCCAAATTTAATATTTGAATCTTAGAAGAAGTGTTTCCATTATAAATATTTCCTTTTTTGTACAAAAAATGGTTTTGAACTTTGTACGTGTGTGTTGGAACCATGTTTCATCCTTGAAATCTTAACAAATAAAAAAAGGCTTTTTTTAATTTTGTCTTTTTCTGAGTCTATTTTTTCTGGACCTCAGTTATCACTTTATACCTAAATGCTACCTCAAGTCCTATTTATAAGAGTTAGTGAACTAATTTAGAAGATTAAAGAAAAAAGTTAACTTAGTTATTTGTAATAAATAGATATTGTCTTTCCTAAAATATTCTTACTAATTAAGTATATTAGTTAAAATTTTATTGTTAGAAGGACTATCTTGGAAACAAAATATATAAATATGACAAACAAAATGAATTAGAATCTTATATTTAAGATCAAAATAAAAATCAAATAAAATTTTATATTAAGATAGAAGCAATAAAGCACGCAATTGGCCCAACGACGTTCTGAACGCCTAGAGTCCACAGTCTTTTCAATGCTATTTCCAGTATTATCCCTATATGATTTAACATTTTTTTATGTAAAAAATATCTAAACAATTTTCAATATCAAAGGAATTTGTGTGAAAATCTATAATTTTTCCCTTTTATTTTCTGTAGCATGTCGATTATTGTTAACTTGATTTCACGTGTTAAAAAAACAAGTTAATGGATAAATTTATTCTGAAAGTTTTCAGCTAAAAAACTACAAAATTTTGCTTTAAAAATTAAAAATCACATGCAATATCAAAGGAATTTGTGTGAATATATATAATTTTTCCCTTTTATTTTCTATAGCATGTCGATTATTGTTAACTTGATTTCATGTGTTATAAAAATAAGTTAATACATAAATTTGTTCCAAAAATTTTCATCTAAAAAACTACAAAATTTTGCTTTAAAAATTAAAAATCACAACAATTTTTACTGAGAGTGACATTTTTTTTGGGAGAATTATCAAGAGATTCTAAATAAGAAATTTAATTATGAAAAATTTCTAATAACAACTGATCAATATAAACCTGTTATTATTCTTCACACTAGAACTTATCATTACTTACTCTTTATTGGTAAATATTTTAAAGTAATTAAATTTTTTTTGGATTTTATTGTAATTTGGCTACCTTTTTTTTTTAACCGAATTTAGCATCTACTTCCACGAACGACTCAGGAAAGATGTACTTGTATGATTTGATATCCAGAGTTATGTAGTTACCATTCAGGTACTGTCTCTTTCCGTATCCAAGCTTAGCTGTGTAGCCTTTAAATGTCAGAGTACCGAACATCGTTGGCGCCCGAATGCTATCACAGTGAAATTTCAGAGGAAAAGCCCATAAAACCCTCATTGACGCTCTGCGACTTCCTGAAATTCTCCCCAATTCGGCTATCAGATCATTTCTCCTTCTCTCTCCCCTCCGTTACTGCTCCCAATTTTAGAATCCTAAAGCTACTACAATGGTGTAGAGATACAAAGCTCCAAAGTTTAGGTTTTTCACTTTTGTCATCCTGGCGCAGGGGCCATGCTAATCGGATAAAACTTTTCTTTTGTAATATTGGTTGATGATGATTGCTTTTTCTTGGCTTAACAGCCTCTAATTCTTTGATTTCTTTTCGTGCATTTCATAATTCATACCCACATATCGTCATTGTAACAGAACAAAACAGAACACCTCCTTGTCCTCTTCCTTACGTTGTAATGTCCCTCCTGTCTATCTCCTCATTTCCTCGGTTCCTCGCATTCTCCAGCGGCCGCCGCCGTGAATCTACTTCTACCACCTGTCTGGTTCCTCCCCTCCGATGGAACCGTTGCCTCGGTTTGCCGCAGGCAGGGCGTGTCGGCTTTCTGGGTTCTGCTACGGAACCAGCTGTTGTTAGATTTATTCCGCGTGGTCTCGGCGCCGTCGCAGAGGATCTGCTTCATGATGCCGGAGCTACGGTGGCGGTTCTCGTCGGAGGATACGCTCTCGTGTTCGCTTTTAATGACTTGACGCGGCGGGAGGTTCTTCAACAGGTATCTGGCAGTCTGGCTCTCAACCTGACTTGCATGCATGAGATGAATCTTGATAAATCACTTCTCGATTCCCCCCCCCCCCCCGGTTTCGGTTCTAAACGCTATAGGGATTTTATAACTGGCTGGGGCATGGGGCATTTTTATTGCACTGTTCTCTTGACTCGGTGTCGGTGGCTTATTTATTGACCTTTAGTATTGATTCTAATTGATGTCAGAACCTGAGCAGAAAACTGGTTCATATGCTCTCTGGATTGCTCTTTGTAGCTTCCTGGCCGATTTTCAGGTATCCGACATCTCTCTGTTAGAAAATTCCTCATTTATAAGCACTTTTCACTCGCAATGCTTTCTCAACTTTGAAATGTGGGTAGGGGGTACCATTTGAAGTGTCAGATATAATGTATGTATGGCTTCTGATCGAACTGCTTCTTGGTGCTTCATACATTTTCATTTTCACTGGAATGTGGTTTTGAGATTTTGACTCTGCAAAGACTGGTTTGTTTGAATGGCTAAATCCAAAGATAGCAACTCTATAGGGGCTCGCTACTTTGCTGCCTTTGTTCCTCTGGTGAATTGCTTCAGGCTTGTGGTGAATGGTCTGTCATTGACGTCTGATGAAGGATTGATTAAGTCCGTGACCAGAGAAGGACAGCCACGGTAATTTTCTGAACCGTTATTTGTCATTGCGTATTATTCAGCCGTGATGTAATGTTGATTAAAGTATTGAACTGGAATTGAACTCTTGATTATTTATATGCCTGCAGGGAATTGCTGAGGGGTCCCCTGTATTATGTTTTGATGCTGATGTTATGTTCTCTTATCTTTTGGCGAAATTCCCCTGTCGGGGTTGTCTCCTTGGCAATGATGTGCGGAGGAGATGGTGATAATCCTGCTCTTTTTTCATTTTTTTCAGAGCTCAACCTCTCATGTTTTACCCTTTTCATCAGAAGACGCACATCTCGCATTATTTTTTTGATAAAGCACGATCATCTCACATTATATTTCCATCCTTACCTTTGGCAGAAAATTAGATGTGAAGGACCTCTTTGACCATAAGTGGACAAAAATGCTCGTCATAAGAAACCTAAAACCCATAAGTATGGTTATTAGCCAATATGCAACTCTTTAATCATCATTCCCTCCCCTTAAGTTTGTCATCGGACATGAACTGCAGAAGTGGGATTCGTACCTGTATTCAAGTGCTAATTTCAAACTTTTCGAGAGTGTTTACATACTAGACCAAAAGCCTTTACTATTAATCATTGTTCGTACACCTATTTTTTATCAACCCATCTCCATGACTTTGTAGTGCCACTTGGGTGAACCCAAATTGTGGGTCTTTACTTGCTTATGTTGTAATAATTTTAGAAGTCCTCTCTTGCTTTGATAAGTCTAGGTGGCAAATGAAAGTCTAGGTTGCAACTTTCATAGGCTATAACTTGTGCATGCAAACTATACCAGAGTTAGAAAGCAAGATAGTAAGAAATTTAAATCATGGTAGTCATGATTTTAAAAATGCTCTGTGATTCCAGAGTCTAGGTGGTAATTTTTTGGGGAAAAAATAGTTGGGAGTATTTTTCTCCATTTATGACAGATTCAGGTCCTGTGATCTTTCTAATTCATTTGAGTTTTATAAGACCTGTTCATTGTACATGCTTCACAAAGTTATGGTCCTTGGATGTAATTACCCTTTTTGTAATTTGATCAATGAATTAAGGCATGAGTCTTGAGCGTCCAATGCTTAAGTCTTTTGTGAGGTCAAACTATTTATAGAATTGTCCCTTAAATCCTAAATTGGCTCTTGCTTTTCTTTTCTCTCTGTTTCTAATGGGCGTTATAACTGGATGATTTTCAGGTATAGCTGATATTATTGGCAGAAGATTTGGATCTGTGAAGATTCCTTACAACAAGAACAAGAGTCTGGCTGGTAGCATATCCATGCTTGCTTTTGGATCATTCATTTCAATTGGGTAAGTCCAAGTTTCCATCTTTAACCACTTCTTCACTGACCTGTAGTCAATTCTCTTTTTAAGACCTGTACTCAATTCTCTCTCCCTCGTATAGCTAGCTAGCTGTATCAACTAATGAAATGGACAAACATGTGCAACATGGAAGATATTCTGTTGGTAGACGTTTTAGATGCACATAATGGGCGAACTTCTTCAGTGGACTGGATAAAGATATGTATACATGTATGTATATATAATCATGTCAAATGTCTATATAGATCCTCTCCGGTGGTGCAGACGATTGAAGAGGATCCAGTCAGTCTAAATAGGTCTTTTTTGTGAGGATACAAAAGTGAATATAAAAGATAAAAAATGTCTGTGAAGTTAAAATTTTTAACCAAGAAACGTTATACCTTAAAAATCTCAGCTATACATGGGGAAAAAAAACACCTTAAAAATATGTTGACAGATTAGATTCTGTCTGATTGTCTTTTATCATACACATTTTTAGTAATAATCACTTTTGACATGCCCTTTGATAATGGACTTTATCCTTCTACTTTTGTTGCCTAAGATGTTTTTATGGATAATATTCTAATTGGCTTTGCAAAGAGCTAATAAAAACTCGCTAGAATGTTATGGCATTTTGGTGATTTCACATCTGGGTTTTACTAACATACTCATTTTGGTAAGTTTACATAGGCTCAGGTTCTTTGTACAATCAATAGGTGCTAAAAATGAATGCAAGAATATTTCAATTCTGAGGTAGATTTTGACATACTGGTGCATCTATGTATGTGTAGGATGCTGTACTACTATTCAGTGTTGGGATATATGCAGTTGGATTGGGGACGCACAGTGCAGAATGTAGCTTTGGTTTCTTTGGTGGCAACAGTGGTGGAATCCCTTCCTATTTCAGAGGTTATTGATGACAACATCTCTGTTCCTATTGCAACCATGGCTGTGGCTTCTTTCACCTTTTATGCATAGTTTTTCAACTTCAAATCCCTTGAAGTATCTCAGGATATGAAATCAAGACAGGCTAGCTGAGCTCCACTTGCACAAGACTCAAACATGCAGGTAGGGGTGGAATGGGACCCACTCCTTTCCTTTTTCCTCTTTGCTACAGCTTTAGAGAATCTGGGCTTCTGCTTCTAAATGCCTATTACTACATATTAGCCCCATCTCCATCAAATAGTAAATGGATCAGTTGAACAGACAAAGCAAGTGTTCCAAACAGTAGAATCTTCGTTGAGCTGGAAAGTGAGTGGTTTTAGTAGAATGGTATAGCCGTGTAGGTCCATCTGGTGACATCTGAACAGATTACTACCCCAAAATTTAATATGGAAGCACATTAGACAATTTTAAGTTGATCCCTCACTAATATACTCCCTTCGTTCCTTATTATAAGAGACATTTGATGCTTATGGCATGTTCCTATATATAAGAGACACTTAAAAGTTGTCTTTACTTTTTTGTGTTGATTTTCTATTTTGCCCATATTTATTGTCTCCAACTCACACTCTCTCTCCCTCCTATTTCTCTTTCTTTTAATAATTTAATTGTTCTCTCTTATGCTCTCTCTCCTTATTAATGAGGGTATTTTTGGAAAAAAAATTATATTTTTTACACATTGATTGTTCTTAACTAATTTTAACTGTTTTTTTAATCAACGTAATTCGGTTATTCGTCTCTTATAATAAGGAATGGAAGGAGTATCTGGTTATATTCATGTATTTATGATCATGATTAGTGATGTGATTTAGAATAAACTACACTTTCATCTAATGAGATACTTAAATTACATATATTTTTATGATAAAAAATATACACATTTTCTCTGAAGCTAGAAAATGTTATAATAATTAAAAAAAATATAATACAACTCTTTTATGAAACTGTAATTTTCACAAAAAAAATCTTTTTTTACAATATTTATATTTATGGTATTTATTTTCATGGGAGAAATATAGATCAATCTAAAATTTTATTATGAAAAATATTTTCAAGAGTTAAGGTATAAGTTTGTCCTGAAAATTTTTACTTAAAAGTGTGAGGTACTCTGTAAGTCTTTTTTATGCAGATTTGTTCCAAAAATCTAAACTTGCAGCGATATAGGCCCTAATTGATGTGTCAAATATAATCTGTGTTAAATGAAGTTGGAGTTCCACAGACAGTCAGCAATGGTAATTGTGAACTAAGTTGACAGCAATTAAACCAAATTTAGTTAAATAGATTGAGGATCGTTTTTTCAGTTAATTCTTTCATCTAAATTTTAATCAATTTTTTGTAATTTTTCAATTAGTTTAATAGTTTTCTCAGTTATAAATATTAAATTTTATAGTCAAAATACGTTGAACCTTTTTTGTTAAAAAAAAACAAAGAGGAAATTCTAATCCTGTCCAAACAATAGGCGTCATGACCACGCTTAAGCTTAACACTGTACATCTAACCTAAGCCCATGAATCTTAACCCAAAGTCTGATCATGGAACCCACAGAATTTAATGTTAGGTGACCCATTACTTCACGCCTAGCAAACAAAAGCAATTTTTTAATTTATAAATTAAAGAAAAAAAACAAAAACAAAAACAAAGTTAAGATCTTATTTATAAATTAAAGAAATAAGTTTTTTCAATTTATAAGTCACAATCAATTTTTTTCATTAATGTAAAATTTTTATTATTATTGTGCTTTTTAAAGTGTATATAACTAAGGATAGAATTAAGAAATTATTAAATTTTAAGATATAAAATAGTTAATGAGATTTAAGGTTTTTATTGATTCTTATAAATAAATTAAAAGTATTAATCTAGTTTGTAGGATAGATGGAATATTTTTTTTCCTCATGTTTAATGAACCAATTTTAAAGACCACAAATTTATGATGGGTTTCCAACTTTTAATTACTTTCTTATGATCCATTCCTTTCTAAGCCCAAGAGGAATTTTCTTTGTTGGGGGATCTAGTATCAACACCCACAATTTAAAGATCAATATATCAACCAAACAATAAATAAAAATAATCATCAATGGATATATGCTTGAACCTGAATTCTCCAAATTAAAAAGTTATTTGACATAAATTAAAAATGAGGAAAATATATGTAAAATATATTCCATAGCTCACTCATTCGTTAATTTATTCCTTCGTATTTCAGAAACATTAAAAACAGATAGAGTTAAAATTCGTATGTACCCAAATTATTCCATAGAAGAACAATTACACAAGAATAAAAGAATAAAATACCAACTTTGGCTTTGCAGGTGTAATTGGTTGGCGAGGAATTAAAAGCATACACACGGCCATTAATTATTTGTTTAAATATTTCATTACGAAAGAAGCATTAAGCTTTATTGTTTTTTCTTTTCAATTATTCTTCAAAAAAAATATATAAATACTTATTCTGTTTTTTTTTTTTGGGCATTTGAAGTGGATAAAGATCCAAGGAGAAGGTTGTTCACTCTCATAAAGGGCAAAAAGGTACTTTACTTCCTTATCTACTTTCACCTAATTATTCTTCCACGTCCTTGTCGTTAATTTATGCATGGTTCCAATTATCCAACAATCTCAAACCCCTTTTTCTATCTTATTTAATGCTAGGAAAATTGGAGAAAAGTCATTCATTATTAATTATTCTAATTAAATTCTGTCTTAATAAACAAAAATAATAGTAGCTAGTAATAAAAACTACTATATCTCATTTCATCTAACAAGGATTAAATAGTAAATTTATGACAATCAAACCTGCATTAAAAAGAAGATTGAGGAAAAAAATTCATTAAGAATTCTATAGAATATTTAATTAACTTTTTAATTTTCAGTTTTCAAGTAGAAATTAAGTTTTTCTTGATGATAATTTAATAAATCTTTCGTAAATTTATAAATTAATTTCTAATGATAGCAAAATCTTGTTCATGAACAATTTTTACCTTTCAAGTAAACAACCGAATCCAATGGATTAAATTACAAAAAAAATATAATGAATGATCAAATTAGCTTTCTAAGAAAAATAACAATCCCATAATAATCCCACGGGCCGGCTTTGAATATTCCAACTGATATAATTGGGAGGGAGGGATTGACATTGGGATTAAAATAAATTAAACCACAAAAGCCTAATAAAAGAATGAAAAGGAATCATTGGGCCAACCAAGGATTTTGAAACCCCTTTATATATAAATACAGTGTTTTGATTTGATTTTCTGTATTATTTTCTATCAAATCCAACTTTTGGAATAAAGACAGACTTATCAACTTTTCTCATCTCACCTTCGCTTCATTGTTCCCAGATCCAAATTCAGATTTTGATTTCTTCTTTTTTAATTATTATTTATAGATTTTAGGGTTTTCAATTCTGATTTGAATTCAAGTGCACATCATCTTTTGAGGCTTATAAAATAATAAAATATACTTGTGTTTATCTGTCAAGCCGCCACCAAAATAAAATAATAAAACATTGGCCCAATAACTATTCAAATAGCTAGGGATATTTCCAAGTGCCAGCCACAAAAAATTATAAACAATTTTGCGTAGGAAGAAAAAAAAGCAGATCCAAGTTGGAATGTGGATAAATAATATTCATGTTCAAAAAAAACCAGAGAGAAAATGTCATGTCAAGTTAATTCCATGAATCTAGATGAAATTTGTTAGATTTCAAGATTCTCATTCTAAAACAGCTCTGGAAAAGTATCAAATCTACCGTCCAAATATACGTTAGAAGAATGCAGAATGAAGTCAAATAAAAATAGGAAAAAGAAAGAAAATAATTTTTTGCATCTTTAGATATAAATGGAAAATATTGGTAAAAAAAAACCTTTATTTAAAAATTTTATTGGTCAGAAGCACCTGAATCGGTATATAATACACATCAGATCTTTCTCATCTATAATATTTCTAGTTTTGTCAATTTTCCCAGCAACATTATCATTTTTTTGCTTCTTCACATCTTTTATTTTAAGTATGGTTATTAGATATTTAAAAACGAGGTGGCATATTAGAATTTACTTAAAACAAAACAAAAAAAAGTATCTCTCAAATGTTTTGATTTCAATATTCTCATTAATTAATTAACCAGGGTTAAGGCTTTCAACAAAATCCACTCTCTCCATATGTCACTGGAGTGCTGGATTAGTATTCAAATTTAATAGCCTACGTAGTTAAATTATTAATTAAATTCTTTAATTAAAACAGAATATACTACTCCGTCCTTTATTACAAGATCATTTTAACTAAATTATATGGTTTAAGAAAAAAGTTAAAATTAGTTAAAAGTAATTAATATGTAGCAAATGTAATTTTTTTTCCAAATACACCTTTATATGTAAATGGATAGATGTCAAAGAGTAATAGTGAGTTAAATAAATAAAGAGAATGCATTAAATACATTAAACTAGGGGTAAAATAGATAATAATGTATTAAATATACAAACAAACTCTAAAAGGATCTTATAAAAAAGGATAAACCTATTCAAAAAATTAGATATTATAATAAGAGGTGGAGGACATACGCACTAATCAACACCATAATGCCATATTCAAAAGTTAATTATTTGCAGAAACGACGCATTAATTACGTCCATATCTGTGTATATGAGAAACCCTAGGATTAATATTCCTTAATATTGGCCGTTACTGGTCTTCATACATATAAGAGCAAATTAATTAAATTAATTAATGAAATAATATAAAAGAAAAGGGTGAATCTTACCACATGTGAGTGTCAGTATTAATTAAATTAAATTAAATTAAAGAGTAAAGAGGAGGATGTGCCAAATGGATGCAAATGCAACTTCATCTTCTTCACGACCTTTCATAAATCTAAATCCACGCTCCCTCCTCTCTCTCCTATACAGTATATATTACTTTATTCACTAAAGCCTGCTTTGTACTTTGTTCTAATTAAATCTACAACCAACCAATGTTTCTTAAACCAGATCGAACCTTTATGAATCTTGACAAATTTTGTGATTTTATTTCGCATTTTTTTATTGATTTTTCTTGAATGAGTAACTATACGTACTAATTAATCTTATGAGATTCGAATAAGTTTGAGTACTATTTTTTTATTACTCCGTCCGTACCTTATTATAAGTAATATAGGACTTCATTACGCGGAAAAAAAG